CGATTTTTAAATTTGTAATTTTTTTTGAGACTTCCTCCATTTACGGGGAACGAGGGAATGTTTTTTTAATTTTTGACGATAATGTCTTCGATAAGATACGATTTATGACCTTTTGACGTATCGTCGAATGAAATCAGACACAAATACTCCGTTTCAAATGAACCAAATTTTTTCTACAAAATGTCAACAAATTACAAAACTTATTTAGTTAAAGCAACCCGGGCTATACTTCTGAAAATTTCTCTTTTATACTAGTAATAAAGTAAAATGTCCCAAAAAAGATGGTACAAATACTTAATGTTGATATTTTTACTATTCAATAATTATTGAAATAATTTTCCGAAAACTGGGAGGATAATTGGGAAAATTTTTTGATAAAATTTCAGACAAGTTACACATTAATATTTAATAAATTTTTTTAGAGCCAATATTAAATAATATTACTATTGATTTCAACATTTTTGGAAAACTATCAATTTAAAATCATTTTCTTTATTAACTATACAATAAATCTAAATTTTCATTACTGGTTTTTATTAACAAAGTTAATAGAAAACAAAGTTATAGAAATATAAAGTAAAATATAAAATCGAGAATTTTAGCAAAAAAATAGCATATGGTAGTCATTTTCACCGTGATGACAAAATGAAGTCCGACATTTTCTTCTTTTCCATAATAAAGTATATTACATTAGCTTTAATTTAAGGTATATATAAAAGTGTTAGTATTTCCGGAACACTTTCAAAAGTTATGTTGAAAAAGTTGTCATTTTGAATCTCCTACTGTGGTTGGTAAAGGGTCAGATTTAGAATAAAAGTATATAAAATGATAGTTTTCATCTATCTATCTAGCGTATCTATCTAAAAAAACTATATTGATTTGGTCATTTTTTAAAAAGTTATGGCAGTTTTAATAAAATAAAAATGTCGAAAATTAGCGATTTTTAAATTTGTAATTTGTTTGGAGACTTCCTCCATTTATGGGGAAAGAGGGAATGTTTTTCAATTTTTGACGATAATGTCTTCGATAAGATACGATTTATGATCTTTTGACGTATTGTTGAATGAAATCGGTTCAGCGAGAGCTAAGAAAAAGTGGTAAAAGACACAAAACAAAAAACACATCATAGTATAATTAATACCTTCTCAGTTTCGCATTGAAGCTAATGTGAGTTCCATTAAAAGGACAAATTTATATATAAATCCTTGACTGACTAATGGAAAAAGACGACTAATTATTTATTTATTAGAGTTTTAGTTCAAACATGAATTTATAAAAACTTGGAGATAATATCGCAAAGTGTTATTTACCTAATTATTTGATATCAAAAAAAATAAAAATACTTTAGTTATACCTTAGTTTAGCGGGAGAAATATATTTATAATGAATAATATTTAGAGATAATATAGATAATGAATTAAACTTCGATAGTAATTATTTTATAAAACCATTTAACAAAGAAAAATTTGAATATTATTATGTATAAAATTATATATAATAATGTTATGTTTTATTCAACACATCTTATGTATAGTATTTTCAAAAAGGTTTATTGCTAAGTGGTTTAGTAATTATTTACTACTTTGCAATAATAATAATTATCTCGAAATTATTCATTAAGATATTTTTCTACGTTGATGAAACCCCATTAAATAATAAGATTTTATAAATATTATAAGATATAATTGATCTATCATTTTAAATTTCGCCAAATTTTATTATTCTTAGAAAAATATTGTTTTTGTATAATTTATGTGTACGCTCAACATATGAGGTAAAACAGCAAATACATATTTATTTTTTATAATATATTACTATGAAAAAATAGCATTATTTGATCTAAAAAGCGTATGAAAAAGATTGATTATGTTGAATATTACAAAACAATTTTAATTCTTGTAATGCTCTTATTTTATCAATAAAATGTCAATAAGAAAATAGTATTTAATAATTAAATTTTGTAGAGTAATTCAAGATTTATTTTATTTAAAATTTGTTTAAAGTAATATTATTTTGTTTCTACATTTTGCTACAATCATTGAATATGACTTTTCAAATCAGAAAGGTATTTATCATTCTATGCAGTTTAATATCAGTAATGACTTCTCCTTCAACAATAGAAAACAATGAAGAAGCTAGTTCATCAACGGTAATTTTATTTCTATCATGTAATGAAATTTATGAAATATAATAATATTCAATTTGTATTAATTAAATTATATAATTCAATCTTATTATTTTGAGTGAATCAGCACTTTCTTTTATTTTATGAGTCTAATTCAAAAATATAACGTCAATAACATTTTATTAATTAATAAACTCAATAACTTCGTCGATAAAAATAAATAAATTACAAAGTTAAATTATTCGATTTGGTATTGAAACTATAACAATTATTATATATAAGTTGAAAAAGTTAATTTTTTGTGAAAAAGTTGTCATTTTGAATTCTCCTCTGTGGGCTGGTAAGGGTTAAACTTAAAAAAAATAATTACATTGATTTGTTCATTTTTGAAAAAGTTATGGCAGTTTTAAGTAAAAAAACCCAGCACAGGGGGGTCGCGGCACAGTGGTGACGTGGTATAGATGGATTAAGTATAATGATATCTGACAGTGATTAAAATCACTATAAAAAAAAAACGCTTCGATGCAAATCTTTAGATAATGTTAAATTTTAAAAAAATTGGTGTTTTATTCCAAAAGCTACATGATCTGCTGGTTCCTTATTAATATCTCTATTAAGATAAAATATGTAGAATGAAAAAGGGATTATTAAAAAATATAGTTTAAAAAAACTAAAAAACACGCTTTTAAAGTACATCGAACTAAAAAGTTAAAAATAATTTTTAAAATTAACTTAAAACAATAATGAACGAAAAATACTAGTATTATTGTGAAAAAAAGCGTCGGGCGCTCAATATACAAAAAATATGGCACAAAGCACCCACGCTTTTTTTCACAATAATACTAGTATTTTTCGTTCATTATTGTTTTAAGTTAATTTTAAAAATTATTTTTAACTTTTTAGTTCAATGTGCTTTAAAAGCGTGTTTTTTAGTTTTTTTAAACTATATTTATTTTTCACTTTTTAGTTTCATGTTATGATAGTAGTTAATATCAATATCATAGTTGTAACGGGTAACGGGAAATAAGGGTTCGATTCCAGAGAGGGAGTCTAAGAAACGGCTACACATCTAAGGAAAGCAGCAGGCGCGTAACGTGGAGGTAGTGACGAAAAATAACAATACGAGAATCATCCTCCGTAATCGGAATGAATACACTACATATCTCTTAATGAGAATAAAGTGTATTAATATATAAGTTTTAATAGTAATTAGAATATATATATATTTAAAGGGACTTAAGTACGTAAACGTATCATGCATGAGATATAGCCGTGTTTATGTGGGCGGGCATGGCGGAGGGAACATTATACACGAGGCATATACGGCAGCAGAGGCGTCGGCTGTAGGAATATATAAATGAATATTAACATATACGCATATACGTACAAATAGGAATATATAATCTTCGCATAATATCGCGGCACTTTCGCTGGCATCGACGACGCGTTGTCCGGCGTGTTCCTCGGACGTCAACAGGTTAGCAGCGTTGATAGCGACGGCGCGCGAGTGCGGATCGAATCGTAGACGTTGTCACTTTGACAACGGGAAGAAGACTACGGTATCATTTGCGGCGGAATGTCGTCGAGCGTGCGGCGCTTACTGGACTTTGCACAGCGGCGTATAACGCGAGGTGTTGGTCAGTTAAATACTCATAATAGGGCGACGGCTGATAAAGGTGGCACTAGTCTTGGGGCATTGTGTATATTGAAACGACGCGGGCCGTGTCAATTACAATAAAAATTTGTTATATATATACATAATTGATGACACGCGCGCGTCTACGGGTTAGAAAATATTGTTGTCTACGAGTGGTGAGCGGGGTGAGGCGAATGCATTACAACGGTATAGTCTCAAGGTCATACACGACGGGATACGCGACATAATAACACGTGCCGCGTGGAGTTACAAACTTACAAACGACAAACAAACAACAAACAAACAACAAACATACACGTGAAAATAATATAAGCGTGTTAAAAATATTATTTTTCATAAAAAAATAATGTTGATCCATACACTTTTCAATATGTCATAGCATTATAAAGTTAAAAATGTAATAAATAAAATCGAGAATTTTCACACAAAAATATTATTCGGTAGCCATTTTTTGTGAAAAAGTGGTCATTTTAAATCCCCCCCTGTGGGCAGGTAAAGGGTCAGATATAAAAAAAATATATACCAAATGATAGGTAAAGACATCATGATTCTATAAAAAAAAATTATATTGATCCATACATATTTCAAAAAGTTATAGCATTATAAAGTTTTTTTAAAATTGAACACTATCTACAGATTAGCATCAAAGCGTTTCTTATGATAGTATTTTTAATCACTGTCAGTTATCATCTATACTTATTATAACTATCCCACGTCCATACTGTGCCACGACCTTACTGTGCTACCAAATTTACTTTAAACAATTTTTGCAATTTTATACTTATGTTAAATCATTTTTTTTATTGTTTATTTCTAATAAGGACTTGTGTATGTGTACTACTTTCGTTTTACATGCCTCTTCTATTTATTAAAATGCTTGCAATTCAAAAAGTATTTAACCTAAAGGTTTTATAAACTCATTAAAATGTGTAATAAAACTAGGTTAAAAAATTACTACTTTGATTTCAAATAAATTAAAAATTCCAAAATAATTTTTTTTTTCTGATATTATAGACATATAATTAATAAAAATTGTCTATTAAAATAGTTTAAAAATACAAAAATTATCAAAAAATTACATTGAAATGATTATTTTCAAAAATAAATATTCCTTGTATTATTCAATAAGTATATTTTGTTTCATTATTAGTCAAATAATAGCAATACTTAGTTTTAACAATTATTTTTTAAATTAATGTTATTTTTTAAACAATTTAGAGTGATGTTGAACTCAAAAAGATTTACAGTGAACTTAAAGAAATATCTAACCAGGTAATAACTAAATACTCATCAATAGAAGATTATAAAAAATTGAACACAAAAATTGCAAGTTTTTAACTACGGCAGCCATTTTCACATAGAAAATAAGTTGTCGGGGCAAAGTTCTTTTTTTAATTTATATTACGTAACACAAGCTTTTATTTAACAAATATATAATACATGCAGAATTTTCGGACCATTTTCAAAAGTTAATTTTTGTGCAAAAGTTGTCATTTTAAATCACCCCCTGTGTGCAAGCTTATCAGGTTTTCAAAAAAATTATGTCAGTTGAAAGGAAAATACCTAAGGAATATTTATAAAAAAAAAAATATTTTAATTTGTTGATTTTTAAAGAAAATATGGCAGTTTTTAGAAAAAAATGTTTAAAAAAAGTCGAAATTTATCGTTTACACATTTTTTTCAATTTTTAATATCAATCACTTTTTGTGATTTTTTTACGTACGTTGAAAGAAATTAGTCTGGTGAGAACTGAGAAAAATTGTCAACAGACATAAAAAATACACACATCATAGTAAAATTAATACCTTCATAGCTTCACATTAAAGCTAATATTAATTATAAACAAAAAAAAAAGAAAATTAGACAAATATCTATTTAGACAAAAATTACGCTACAGTAAATAATTTTTATAGACATTTGACATAAAAGAAATAATTAATTTATAATTTCTTTTATGTTTCTGCAAAAATTACATTAAATTATTGATTATCTATTGCATATTAAATTTAATTACTATGATTCGCATTTAATCATATATTATATTTATAATGAGGGACGGTGTGGCAGATTTGTTAACGCGGCAGTGCTTCGAGTTCGAAACTACATCACGGGCGGCTTCATTTGCTGAACAGGAGATAAGTTCAGTAATTGGAGTCGCCACTCTCTCTATCCAGGCGACGGACTAACCATCCGTCCTAGACTACAATCGTTATGAAAACTCATAAATTGAAAAAAATCCCCTTTATGAAAAAAAAAAGTTGCTTGATCAGCTTTCTCCATACACAAAATTAAAATCATTATCTTTAAAATTTTTAAAGTATTCATTGTCGATTTAGATTTGATATGATAATAAATTTCAACTACAAAATTAAATAATTGTACTTTGTAATATATTAATTTTTTAACTTTATTTGTGTGTGTTACTAATACTCTGTAATATTCCAAATTTGTTGGTAACATGTTGCTATATAAATCATAATACAAAAAAAAATTATTTTTAGTTTCACCTGAATTTAACAAAAAAATTTTACAATTACAATAAAATTTTATAATACACTCAATTAAGTAGATATTTTTAACAAAATTTAGATTGGTTATTTTAGTTCAAGCAAATCATTAAAATTAATGAAGTTCTCAATATTACAATTGAATCTTTTAAGCACCAAAAGTTACTTAGAAGTGATTACTATGATTTCTGTTGAAGTATTCTATTACAATAAAAATGCAAAAAAGATATTGAGCTTTTCTAATATATTTAGTGTACATAGTAATTATAAAATTTGCAGACTGCATATTAATCTTAATTATACCATTTTTTTAATTTTCATAAAATTTTCTGCTTAATAATGGCAATTTCAAGCTTGTCAGTAAAGCTAAAAATCATGGTAAAAACTTTTAGCTTTCTTTATATTTTAATACTTGTTTTTAGCTATTTAGTAATTATATCAAAATTATTTAGTGATGGAAAAAATCTTATTCCAGATTTGAAATCAACGCGAAAAATGGGTTTAAAAATTTATATTTTTGACTCTGATAAAAATTCCTCGAACACCATTTTTTTACAATTAAGTAGAAATGTAAAGTTTTGTATCAAGCCCTTCAATTTTTATACGGGTTTACCAAAAAATTAACAACTACTTTATAATTTCTTCGTAAAAGTTACAATACTAAATTATTAAATATCATTTTATACTACGTTCAATTACTATAATAGATAATTATTCATATATTATACTTATAAATCACAGAACTGCCAATTAGGAATAATAAAAAAATAGGAGTTAATATTGTTTTTGGAATAATCCACCAATTTTTAAAATTGAACACTATCTACAGATTGGCATCAAAGCGTTTCTTATGATAGTAGTTTTAATCACTGTCAGTTATCATCTATACTTATTATAACTATCCCACGTCCATACTGTGCCACGACCTTACTGTGCTACCAAATTTACTTTAAACAATTTTTGCAATTTTATACTTATGTTAAATCATTTTTTTTATTGTTTATTTCTAATAAGGACTTGTGTATGTGTACTACTTTCGTTTTACATGCCTCTTCTATTTATTAAAATGCTTGCAATTCAAAAAGTATTTAACCTAAAGGTTTTATAAACTCATTAAAATGTGTAATAAAACTAGGTTAAAAAATTACTACTTTGATTTCAAATAAATTAAAAATTCCAAAATAATTTTTTTTTTTTATATTATGATCTCAAAATTTATGCAAATGTTATAACAATTATTGATCAATATAAAATTCAAGAAGATCTGAACAGATTTTGTGATTGGTGCCACTCAAATGGGTTAAAATTGAATATCACAAAATGTTTTAAAATGTCTTTTTCCCGTTCAAGAACGAAATTAATTTATGACTATCATCTCTTTGATAATCAAATTGAGGATATTAGTACCATTAATGATCTTGGGGTAGTTTTTAAAACCAATTTATCATTTCAGCCATACATTTATCATATCTGTGTGAAGTCCCTATGAACTCTAGGGTTCTTAATTAGGAATACCAAAGAATTCAAGAATGAACAGTGTCTAAAAACATTGTATACTTCTTTAGTTAGACCTACGTTAGAATATTGCTCAGTTATTTGGAATCCTTCACAAGTCGGATTGATAGAATCGCTTGAGCGTGTACAAAGAAGATTTTTACGTTTAATCGCATATAAGAGACGTATGATTTCTATTAATAACCCTTCCGAGTCAATATCACTTAATTCTGTACAGGCTTCCCTTAACTTAGATTCCCTTGTTAATAGGCGAAAATATACAGACGTCTGCTTTCTTTCTAAATTAGTAAATGGTGCTATAATCTGTCCAGAACTATTACAATCCATAAACTTTCACGTTCCAAAATTTAATTCACGTTCTTGTCCTACATTTGAAATCCCTTTTCATCGAACATCTNATTCCAAAATTTAATTAACGTTCTTGTCCTACATTTGAAATCCCTTTTCATCGAACATCTTATGGTTTTAATAATCCTGTTGATCGAATAGCCAGAGAGTGCAATAAATTAAAATTTGATTTGTTTATTATGAATGATTTGTATTCCTTAAAACACTGATTTTAGTAGCCTGATGCATATCATTAAATCACCTTTCTTTTTTTGTAAATTTATTTTAATATTATGTACTTAATTAATTATAATTGTAACATACTTGTATCTTATTTTAACAATGTTTATTGTCACTGTACTTGAGCCCACCTGGGCGTTTATACCAAATAAATAAATAAAATAAATAAATAAATAAATTCATTGTATTATTCAATAAGTATATTTTGTTTCATTATTAGTCAAATAATAGCAATACTTAGTTTTAACAATTATTTTTTAAATTAATGTTATTTTTTAAACAATTTAGAGTGATGTTGAACTCAAAAAGGTTTACAGTGAACTTAAAGAAATATCTAACCAGGTAATAACTAAATACTCATCAATAAAAAATTATGAAGGTTATGTACACGCTGCAAAAAATAATACAGATCACACGATAGTTAGAGCTATGATTCTGAATGAATATGAATCAGTCAAAAAAGTTATAAATTATTGTAAAAGTAAGAGTCAAATTACATTTTCATAAAAAAATTAATTTAATATATAAACTGAATCAAAATTATAATTGTTCAATTAAAAAATTGTCCTTTAATGTATTTAGAAAAATTATATTAAATATAATTTCTCTAATTAAGCAGATTTTGCTTAATTTCCAAATATTTAAATAAATATTATATAAAATATTTATATTATGTTTTCAGAACTAGAAGATAAATTAGACTTGAAGGATTATGTTAATCAATTGTTTGGTATAATGCTAGAAAAAATATATAGACAATCGAGTTTGATGTGTTTTTTACCGAATAATAAAATATTGAAGAAAATATTTGAATATTATTCTAATGATTCAAATTTCATCTCAAAGTCAGTATTTTTAGATTTTTTGAATAATGAAAAACTACTGGACGAAACGGATAAATCATACCATAATATAGTTGACCAATTAGATTTACAAAGTAATTATTTAAGCATTTTTAAAACTATTTAAAAGAGAAAAATTTGAATATTATTACATATAAGATAATTAAATGTGAAATAGTATAAAATTGTATAAGATATTAATATTATGTTTCAATCCATACATCATATGAGTAGTAATACCAAAAAGGTTTATCTCTAAGTGGTTTAAAAATCATTTACCTACTTCGCAATAAAAATAATTATCTCGAAATTATACATTATGATATGATTTTGTAGACCACTATTAAATAAAATTTATTTTCAGGTTTTTCTATATTAATGGAACCACATTTGCCAAAATATTTAGAAAATCTAACAGTAGAGCAATGTACATTAGAAGAATATTTAAATATGCTCACAGACTAAAAATTTGTGTATTGTATTCTAAAATCATAAAATATATTACTGAATAATAATAATGTTACACCTCATAAAAACTAATTTTCAAATAAATTCTAATATTATTTAATGTAATAGTAAAGATTATAAGTTTGTCTCTGATAGTACAGTATAAAAAGTTTTGAAAATATTAATACAATTATATTTTTAACACGCTTATATTAGTTTTACTTGAATGTGTGATGTGTGTTTGTAACTTTCCACGCGGCACGTGTTATTATACTCGCGTATCCCGTCGTCTAGACTAGACGTCGTAACGCTTTCACCCCACCCCGCTCACCAATCGCCGGCAACACTAATCGTGTATAATTTTATATTTTTGGTTTTCGTACCCGTACAAGTGTGCGTGTCATTATTTATATATATATAAACAAATTTTTATTTCGACTGACCAATACCAACCGCATGTAATGCGCCTTACGTATATATAGTTATATGTTCCTACCGCCACTGCCGCCGTTTATACCTTAGGTATAACGTTCCCCCCGCCCACAAAACACGGCTATACTCTGTGCATGATACATTTACGTATTTATGTCGCCTTACTATATACAGGTTGATTTTTTTATCATAACCCACTCAATTACTTGCAGAATAATAATAATTTAAACATTTTTTTTTTTATTATCTTTAGTTACATATTATTCTTGAATTTTTAATTATGTAATACTTTTTAAGTTCATCCCTTATGCTTGGTAAGGAAGTCAAATTTGTTTTTTTAAATTGTAACACGTAATTTTAATTTAATAAAATGTTTGAGTTTTCAATTCAATAGTAAATGGCATTTGAATTTTTAATGAAACTTAATTTGTTTATTAGATATAAACATTTAAAGTTTCAAATTTTTGAGTTAATATACATGTATAATACACTAGGGATTAAAATTACAGGTAGCTAATTGGTTTTTTATGACATCGATATTAGCAGGTACAAAGCATTGTTATTATCAATGGTAGTAAGGCACATTGTTGTGAGTTTATAAATACACTAACTGACAATACAGAATGTATATCTATTGATAGTCATAATTGATAATAAACAATCCGTGACTGTGATAGCAATATCATAAAAATCCAATTAGCTACCTGTATTTGTAATCCCTTGTGTATTATACCTATATATTAACTCAACAAATTGAAACTTTAAATGTTTATATTTAATAAACGAATAAAGTTATATTAAAAATTCAAATGACATTTGTTATTAAATTAAACACTCAAACATTTTATAAAATTCAAAATTTGTGTAACCATTTAAAAAAACAAAGTTGATACCCTTACCAGGCATAAGGGATGAACTTAAAAAGTATTACATAGTTAATATTTCAAGAATAATATGTAACTAAAGATAATAAAAAAAAAAAATGTTTAAATTATTATTATTCTGTAAGTAATTGAGTGGGTTATGATAAAAAAATCACCCTGTATATATTTTAATAACTACGAATATATGTATGTACGTGTATATATATATTCCTACAACCGCCGCATATGCCTCGCGTACAACGTTCCCCCACGCCCCTTTTTTTTTTTTTTTTCCTTCAGCCGACTTCATGCAAACCGCCCCGGGACTGCCGTTAAGCATTGCTTCGAGGCGGCCTACGTCGCTTTCTAACACTTCTGCCACCGCGCTGTGCTTCGGCCCGAACTTAATCCGGGGCCGGATCACAGCGCGGTGCTGCCTCCCCCGTTAGCCGGACCCCACTGGTGGGTCCGTTGCCCGGGCTGCACCACGCGGAGGTGGGGGCAGGACTTCGCGATGGGTTGGGTCCATCCTTGATGGGCACTCTTTAGCGATATGCCCACCTTTTCTGCACCTGAGACAGTTCCCTGACCTGTCCGGGCCCTTACAGCTGTGGGCAATGTGCTCATACTCCAGACACCTGTAGCACTGAGGACCTTTGTCAATGATCCTCAGTCTACAGGTTGTCCAGCCGACTTTTATTCGGCTCACTGTGGTAAGTCGAATGGCAACCTTGACTGGCACGTCACATCTCGCGTAACGCCCCTTGCCTCCAATGTTAGGCCGTATGATAACGGGCCCAACACTTGGACATTCCAGAGCGTCGCTTAGGGCCCGACGCACCTCGTCCTCTTCGTGCCAGTCCTCCACATCCCTGATTAGGACAGTGCGGGTCATCGAAGGGCGATGCACCCGCACGTCCTTCTCTTTGAGCGCCTCCTCCAACTTGGCGGCTAGTAAATCCGCTTTCTCGGCGGTTCCTCGAACCTCCAGCAGAACGGCCCCCGTCTGAGTCCTCCGGGTCCCGGACACCTGGATACCCAAGGCCAGAAGGTCCACAGAGGCCGTCGCCGTCTTCATCACTTCGGCATACTTCAAGTCCCCCTTCAAAGGGCCGATAATCACAGCCTCCGTACGANTGCCTCTGTACGAGGGACCCTCACCCGCAACTTTTTTGCGGTCGGACCTCGTGTAGGTGGTGGAGGTCTAGGCCTAGTTGCCGTTTCCTCGGTCTTCCCCAGTCCACCCTTGCGACGAACCACCTCCGTCCAAGTGGGCCTCTCCGTCTCCGCTCCTGTGTCCACACTCGCCGGAGCGGACTTTGCAGCAGCAGTCCCCCGATCCGAATGCTTCTCGGGAAGCGTAATGGTCGGCGAGGAGGCCGTACCCTCGACAGTGTTCAGTCTCTTCTCCTTCTTCTTTCGCTTCTTCCCAGGCTTCGTCAACGGATCTGACCTGGGATTTGGGAGCTCCTCCGTTGTTTGTGTGGCCACATTCCTCCTCAACGCCATATCAGACGTCCCGGGCCTGTTTGTTTGCGGTCCAACCGCCGTTTGCGTTCCCGCGTCCGTTGTCGGCTTCCGTTTCGCGAAAACCGGAGCTAACGTACCAGAACCCCTTTCCGGCGAGGCTACAATGGTCCCCGAGCGCGGTGTCGCTCTCCTGCGCTTTTCCGTAGCCAGGATTTCCTCCAGCTTCTTGGTCGCCTCCTGGACTTCCTTGTGGACGCCCATCCCTCTACGCTTATCAATGACTCCGCGGAACACTGCGACTTGTCCCGTTATGTTTCCAACCAACGCCGATTGCGCGGTTGCTTCTTCCTCGGAGTCATGCCTCTTCTTACGGCGTGGCATGTCCGAACTTCGAAGTTCGGTCAGCGCTTGGCAGGAAAGAGATATCTGCTCCAGTAAGTACTGCAGATGAGTACCTGGAACCTCTTTCATGAGGCTACCCTCCACTTCGGCCTGTCTGGTCAGGCCGACGACATGATTCAATCCGATGTCGAATGTCGCTTCATCGTCGCTCTCTTCGTTACAAAGTGGCGCCTTCCTCTTCCCGGGGTAACGCTTTGGGGGCGTCTCCTCCGGCAGGGGGCTCAAAGGCGGGGAGACCTCACGGAAAGGAGCGGTCGTCGCCTGCCCGAGAGAAATCTCAACACCACTCACACCAGGCCTAACACCTGTCCTCATTGTTTCGTCCTCGGATAGACTATTGTCTCCTTCGGACGATTCCTCCACAACTCCGGGTGCCGTTTCCGCGACGACGCATTCGTAGTCGAACACATCAACGACATCCCGGAGTCCAATCCCCATTGCTTCCATCATCGGATCCTTCCTATGGCGCGTCAACAGTTCCCGGCTGACCAGCCGAGCAATTTGGATCGCACGGTCCGCCGTGCTTTCGCCTCGAAGGGAGGAGACGCACTTACTCATAAGGCATACTCGCTCCTCTTCCCCTTCTACTCCATGGAAGGGGTTATAAACCTCCTTGCGCTCCGGAGAGAAGTTGCCTCCGTTTTGGACGTCCCTGGTCATCATCCCCAGTATGGTGTCCACTGCGCCCTTAAAGACGCCTAGGTTGCGGAATCTTTGACGAGGGAAACAGTTTTCGACCTCGCTTCCGTCCTCCATCTTGCGCCTTATTTCTTCCCAGCGCACATATTCTGACTCCGTGAGAGGTATATCGTTGCTATACCTATCTCGGATATCAGCCCATTCATCCACCAGCTCCTCGGTGATGGTGAATCCTCCCTTCCTATTTATACCCAAGTTGGGTTGTGGGGCCTCCACATCGCATCGCCCTTGGTCGGCGTCAACGAGAGCCGGGCTACAAGAACCCCCGCCGACGTCCCCTGTGCCATCCGATAGCACTGGGGCGGTAACAATATTTCCAGTTATCCTATCCATATTGGGTTTTTTAATGGGTATCCTTCCCATGCGTTTTTAACCTACCGCCAGGCTCGTAGTTTTTTTTCAGGGTTGTCCTCCCTTAGGCGGTCGCCTTACCAGGCTAATGGGTCCGCCTACCCAGTTCTATGTTTCTCTCGAACGCTATCGCTTATTCGACCACCCTATTAAAAATAGAGTGACTTATTTCGCGACTACCCTACATATCTGTAGGGTTAACGAGCGTCCGAGAGGCTCGCTGTCCGCGACCGCTTATTCGTCAGTCCCCAAGAAAGGGACTGCTTATTTCGCGGCTAACCTGTATATCTAAAGGCCGTTCCTCGATCCGCAACCGGAGGACGCGCCCGATTCCCCGAGCAAGGGAACTGCGCCCGCTGCAGCAGCTCGTAGCCCCGTAGAGCCCGATTCCACCACAGTGAGAGCACAGCAAACGGGTCCCCCACGCCCCGCCCGCCCATAATAAACGGCTATACCTCGTGCATGATACGTTTACGTACTTAAGTCGCTTTACATGTATATATATATATTCTAATTACTATTAAAATTTATATATTAACACGCTTTATTCTCATTAAGAGATATAAAGTGTATTCATTCCGATTACGGGGGATAATTCCCGTATCGTCATTTTTTGTCACTACCTCCACGTTCCGGGAGTGGGTAATTTGCGCGCCTGCTACTTTCCTTGGATGTGGTAGCCATTTCTCAGACTCCCTCTCCGGAATCGAACCCTGATTTCCCGTTACCCGTTACAACCATGATATTGATAGTAACTACTATCATAACATGAAACTAAAAAGTAAAATATAAATATAGTTTAAAAAACTAAAAAAACACGCTTTTAAAGCACATCGAACTAAAAAGTTGAAAATAATTTTTAAAATAAGCTTAAAACAATAATGAACGAAAAATACTAGTATTATAGTGATAAAATCGTGAGTGCTTTGTGGCATATTTTTCGTATATTCAGCGCCCAACGCTTTTATCACAATAATACTAGTATTTTTCGTTCATTATTGTTTTAAGCTTATTTCAAAAATTATTTTCAACTTTTTAGTTCGATGTGCTTTAAAAGCGTGTTTTTTTAGTTTTTAAACTATATTTATTGATACAAAAGTATTACTTTACAAACACTATACCAAAAAAAAGTACAAATTTAATTATTGAAATAAGTAAAATTTAAATAGGGTTCATAGTAAAATGTAAAAAGTATCCAGTTGATATTTGATTCCGGGGTCATCACAATAATATAATAATATTTGAATTTTAACACTATCATTGGTATGGACAATATTAATAAAATTGTTTTATTAAATTATAGGTTATAATAAGACATTATAACATAGGAATTCAAATTTAAGTCAAACTCCAATGAACTAATTATATTCTAAAATAAAATACAAAGGTATATTCAAGAGTATACTTAATAATATCTTATATTATTATTAAACATTATTTAAACAGGTATGCAAAAAATAACTATACAATTATTAGGATCCGATTTAAAATCGGACATTGTTATGTGATTTTTCCAGCATTTGCTAATTTATTAATGTTTTATTATATAATACGATTTGTTAATTAATTAAAAAATTATATGTGAAGTATACTTAGGAGTAACTTTTTTATTACATGTAGATGGATGGATTTTTTTTAAGTATAAGTTGCTAGATTATCATTTAATGTTTTCTACGTTAAAAAATAATAATATATTTTAATAGTTGTTATCCATAACAATTACTGTTCAAAAGTTACTTGTGTAGCCCGATCAAGCTCCACGTAGCTTATAATCACCCACCCCCTCTCAACGCTTTACCAACGACAGCCATAGAAGTCGTATCCGGCACTATCGGCACCTATATCATTACGTTCGTGTACGCGGTTGACGTTATATCGTCCCGTTGAGTCTAATGACTCATAGCCAGTGATTTGGGACAGAAGTTGAAGGAACACATCTCAACAATACAAGATTAAATAAGTTAGGAAACATCATTTTCCTCACATCCCACCATAACAAAGGATCCGACTTTCTTTCTATTATAGGCTTATTTAAATACCTATCTAACTGAATAATCGCTTCACTAGTAGGCGTTTTTTTTTTGATGAAGTTACCACTTTAAAAAATTAAAATATCTGATTAAATAACACAATAAATAAATAAACTTTTTTGTTGTTATACCTGAGAGTCAAACTATTTCCAAATGTCTACGGCTTCAGTTTCACTTTAACTATATCCTACCAATTTTTATTCATATTTATGGCAGCTGTAATATTAGCGGCGCTGTCGCTTATTGCAATTTTAACTTTTTCAGTTATTTCCTATTCTTTAAAACAATTATTTAAAAAAATTGACAAATTAATGCCGTATGTGATTTTTCAAAATAATAACACCCTAGTAAAAAAGACTTTAAAGTGTATTCATTTTTGTCAATATAATGAATAGTTAATGCAAAAAAACTATCATTATTAAGGGATGTCCACCCATCAGTTGTAAATGCAATATAATGCGAATTAATTTTAACTTTTTCTTTAGCTTTTGCGTATAATTGTGGCAAAATTGATTTAGATAAAGTTTTTCGTGAAGGTAATTTATAGCTTAATATATATATAATATATATAAAATATATATAATAATATATATAAAAGTGTCAGACTTTCCGGAACACTTTCAAAATTTAAGTTGAAAAAGTTCTACTTTCTACATGCATTTTTTAGATTTGAACCCCCCTCGTATATAGGGAAATGGTCGGATTTAAAAAAACAGTATGTCAAATAAAAGATGTATATAAATACTACTCCTCATGAAAAAATTGTACTGATCCATACATTTTTCAAAAAGTTATAGCATAATAAAGTTAAAAATTTAAAATACAAAATCGAAAATTTTCACACAAAAATAGCATTCGGTAGCCATTTTCACCGTGAAGATAAAATAAAGTCCGAAATTTTTTTTTTGCATAATAAAGAATATACATCAGCTTTAATTTAAGATAAATATAAAAGTGTCAGACCTTCCGAAACATTTTCGAAAGTTATGTTGAAAAAGTTGTCATTTTAAATCCCCCCTTGTGGACAGGTTAAGGGTTAAATTTATGAAAAAAATATACCAAACAAAAGGTAATGATATTACACATCTATATAAAAAAGAATTATATTGATATGTTCATTTTTGAAAAAGTTATGGCACTTTTAAGTAAAAAAAATTGAAAAAATTTCGAAAATTAGCGATTTTTAAATTTGTAATTTTTTTGGAGGTTTTCCCCATTTACGGGGAACGAGGGCATTTTTTTAAATTTTTGAGGGTAATGTCTTCGACTAGATACAATTTGTGATCTTTTGACGTATCATTGAAAGAAATTGGTTTGGTGAGAGCTGAGAAAAATTGGTAAAAAAAAAAAAAAAATAAACACATCTTAGTAAAACCAATACCTTCTCAGCTTCGCATCGAAGCTAAAAAAGAATTTTTCTACAAAAATCGTATTTTTTTAATTAAGTTTGATGTCTGTTTTCACCATGAAGATAAAAAAAAGTCCGAAATTTTTTTTTTCCATGATAACGTATATTACATTATCTTTAATTTAAAATATATATAAAAGTGTCAGACCTTCCGGAACAGTTTTGAAAAGTTAAATTGGAAAAGTTTATTTTTTGTGAAAAAGTTGTCATTTTAAATTCCCCCTTGTGTGAAGGTAAAAGGTTAAATTTATAAAAAAATATACCATGGTAACATACACGCAAAAAAAAACACATCATAGTAAAATCAATACCTTCTCAGCTTCGTATCGAAGCTAAAATTAAATACCCTCCTAAAATAATTTCTTAATACACCCAAGGGAAATACCTCATTAACAACGTCAACCTTATACACAATACATTTTACTATATTCTCTTTTTGAATTTTCCTGATTTTAATAATTAAATTTTTAATATATTTTTATTACACTGATTCTGATGTAATATTTTTTCCTGCAAAACACTTATCGTGACCGTCGTAGCCAGATACTCCTACCGGAATCTTTGGCCTACTTACGACGATGGTCCAAAGAGTCTTACGCAAAGTGTAAGTGCCGAAGTCGCATGAGGCTCGTAAGGACCTAGCTAGGCGAATCCTATTAAATAATTAACTTTAAAAATGATTATTCAAAAATTGTCAATTCTACTGAAGTAGTTAAAGTATATCTTTGTTAATTTGTTAGGAAAAATTATGCTTATTGTTATTTACTTAATAAAGATTAATGTGATTTTAACAATTATTGATATTGCTTTAAAATTTTAAAATTTGTTTTAGAAATTCCATATTTTATCAACATTTTTTGTTATGTGCATTCCAATTTACTTGGAAGGTAAGTATCTCTCAACGATATAAAGTGAGATATGTTTATCAGAACCCACTAAATTATTCGCAAAATAATCATAAAATGGAAAAAATATATTTTAATTTTTTTAGATATATACAGAGTGAATATTTAGTTATAACTCACACGATGTCTTTAAAAATATAAAACACAATACATTTTATTCTTTAAAAACTTGAACGTGTGCGTGTTTTTCGTTTTATGAATTTTCATCAGAATAAATGTAGTAGGTAATAAAAATAAGTGGTATTTTTTGGACATTATTAGAATACATGGTTTTGGTAACACAAAATTGTCTAAAAGTATTTAATAAATAACAAAAAAGGATAACAAAATTAAAATATGCAAAAATTGTGTCCCAAAAAATGATAGCCCTTATTGTTGTTAAATCCTGCAGGCTACCTTGTATTTGGATAAACTAAACAACATTACATTTTTACAATGTGTTGAAATCGGATTTATAATAATTATTGTAATTTAATATGACAGCAAATACTCCAAATTGAAATATATGGAAAATTAAGAATATTTTTTGAATGATCTAATCTTATATTTAACAAATACTTAGTACAGTAGAACCTCATTAATCCGGACCTCATTAGTCCGGACTTGGCTTAATCCGGACAGCTGTCTAATATTACGAAAAATACACAGTTTATGCCGCGTAGACTCCTCTAAAGTAAGTTCCTCGAATTTCCCATAAGTACATATATTCTTATCTACCGCCATTAAAGTTATCATAAACTATGTATTAGTAATTTATATTTTGGTCATTATTATATATATACATAATTCTATCCACATTAAATATGTAATGTTTTTGCTGGACCTAATATCATGTTGCAATATATATAATATATTATTATATCATATATAGTATTTAGTATAATATAATATTCTTAAATCTATAATACGGACATGTTTTTTGGTTATTTTGTTTAATCCGGACTTTCATTAAATCGGACAACCTAGAGTCCTTATTAGTCCGGATTAATGAAGTTCTACTGTATTTAAATTTTGTTAGGTACCCATTGATATAGAGTGACGTTGTTTATAAAATTAAATATGAAAACACAGTAATTGGTACTGGCAAGTCAATGGGTCATACCATATACGTCTGTGTTTGTCACAACAGGTTATTATTGTTCTGCAGCCATCTAGTGGAACGGAGATTCCGTGTTAACAATACGCCCCGACCTTGTACGTATTTTCCAATGAAAAACCGCCACCGCCACCACCTCCACCACCATCATCACGTCAAGACGGCGCTGTTCTTTAGACCGGTCTCTGCGATTTGTCGCATTTGTTCGGCCGTATTAGATGCATTAAAGTCATATATTTCCTTTGACCAAAATTTGCATTGTCGCCACAATTATCGAGTTAGCAATTCAACACGGAATAAACTTTTACGGTATCATTGCCTTCCGTGTATCATTTTAGTCTCCTATTGGTTTGACTGACGGGAAATAATCGGCTCTTATTATTGGTTTTTTTTAATTGACACCAATGTGATACGCGAGAGGAGTGTTTATACGACCGTTTGTTAATGCATATCTGTCCAGCACACATGCGGTTGTATTTAGTGTGGATCTGTCGTTTTATACAGAATGATTGAAATCTAGTAAGACACTCATTTTCTCAGAAAATATTGAGAATATTAAATTTTATTATAGAGAAAAAATATCAAGTTCAAAAAACTACAATAATATGTAGTCAAGCTATTATTTTTTGGTCTCTTCAAAAATAAAAACCCTTATTTATAATTTTCTTAAATGGGAACCCAAATTTTTAACTCTATAATATGATAGAAAAAAAAATTACAAACAATTTTGTTTTTATAATTTTTTTTATCCGATTAACCGTTCGTCCGTTACAGTTTGTTAAAGTTAAGTGATTTTAGGCCAAAGTTCTATTGTCATTTTACTATATTAAATACAGAAGTCATTATTTTTATTTACTGTTTCATAAACCAAATGTTATTGATCAATTTATGACAGGAAATTAGCTATAAAAATTTACTACGCATAAAATGAGTGATAATAATAATAGATTTAAACCGGGTTTTCGGTGTATTATTATTAATAGCTAAGTCTATGGTTTTGTAAGACTAAAGGATCTAACAAAAATACCGGTTGCACTGCCACCGATATTATGAATCGTAATAAATGACAATATTTTTTCTGGAAGTCAAAATCTTTAAACAATTATAAAACGTAAACGGTTGTTCGGATAAAAAAAATTATAAGAACCAAATTGTTTGTAATTTTTTTTCTAACATATTATCAAATCAAAAATAGTGGTTCCCATTTAGAAAAATTATAAATAAACATTTTTATCCCTGAAGGGATAAAAAAAAAATTATTTAACTTCATATTATTGTAGAGTTTTATAAACTTAATAATTTTTCGTTTTACAAAAATTTTAAATTCTCAATAGTTTCTGAGAAAATAAGTGTCTTACCAGATTTCGAAAATCCTGTATATGCCACTGCAACTTATAGGCCAGTCAACGAAGAAGTAATTTTAGCGAATGGCGGAAAAAATTCCCAACCAAATTTTTTTTTTTAAAAAAGTTGAATTAAGATATGTATTGACACGGTACCGTGTTTCCCTCAACCGCACATCACGTTATCAACCTAAATGAAAGTGTATCGGGATCTGAATCATAAGTGCACGGTGGCCTAGTGGTAAGGATTGTCTATACGACGCCTTGGGTCGCGGGTTCTAATCCCGTACCGTGCCTCTTTTTTTACGGTTACTTTTTATCATGTTCTACTTACATTAGACAAAATGTTATAAATGCATATGTGTGTATGTGTGAGTTTATTTATTTATTGTATCATTAAAGTGTAGTGTATATTAATATACAAGCGATAGAGTAGGTAATTGATTTGACGCTATATTATTTAAACCCAACTAAACGCTAAATTGTACATTCCCAAACAACAATTATATTATGTCAATTGCCACCGAAATTTCTGCTAATAATAAAGATAATTGTCATAAAACGGCCTTTAGTCTGGTGCTGGAGGTGGTAAAAGTTGTGGCTGCCGAAAAACAGGACTTCAATGTTCTATTATATGTGAACATTGCAATATAACTTGTATTTAGGATATAAATACGGAAATAGGAGATCATGTAGTTTATGTAAAAGAACAAAAAAAAAATATATATAAAATAATTAAAAATTTGTGTTAATTAATTTTTTTTTCTTTTTCCCTTGACACTACCGACTATTTGCAAGGCTAAACCGCACTGCACTAAAAACTAACAAATGACTGTAAATTAAAGGTGATTGTGTCATGGATAGTAACAATGCATTAAAAAAACTTTTATTTTCTATTTGCGATCGAAAAGAATCGATTTACAACCAGTAAAAATTTAAATAATTAGTTCCCCAACAATTTTAATTATATACAATGTTTTAAACTTAACTAAGTACTAACTACATACATATTACTAGATATTATTATTATATATTTCATGTAACAATAAATTATATAAAATTAATTTTTTATAGTTGTGAATAGATTATTAACTACAATCACATTTGTAGTTAAAAAAAGTGTTAACTCGCAACACTTTAACGTTTAATAAGCGATAACATTTGAAATAATATCATATTATAATCTTATGATATTTTATTATAATTACATATTCATTTTGTTTTATATTATGAAAGCTTTATCGCCTTTATCAATGAAAATAATATGTAACGCATAGCATAACAGTCAATAGTAGAATGATGTGCTGCTCCAAAATAATATTAGGCGGCCGTACAGGTTGAAGAGTTCGGTTGTAAAACATCTAAAAGCGCATTCTCTCGGTCATATCGTTGTTTCGTTTGTCCGTATGGCGTCCTCTTAAACGAAACTGGAACCGTGACCTTTTAAGTTAACAAAACAACGCCAAAAATATAATCTTAACAAAAATATAACTTAAATTATCTAATTAAGGTGTAACCATTGGGTGACTTCCTTTAATGTTATTAATATTATTATTTAAAGTGTAAAAAAAAAAAACTTATTGTAAATTTAAATTGTACAGATTGTTTTTCTGATAAAAAAAAAAAAAAAAA